AGACGGTTCATTCAAAGCCGCGTTTACAGCCACTCCCCGCGGGCGCTGAGCTCAATCCGGCCTCCGGGGGAACCTGGTCGCGTCGCCCAGCGGGGGACTGAGGTCTAGGCGCGGGTCAGCGTCCCCGAGGGCATGTGGCTGGGAAATGGCCCCGAGAGGATTCGAGCCTCGTGGTCTCTCCATTTACACAAAGCGGACCCGCGAGGCCGGCACGGACATCGCCTGAACGTGAGAGCAAGGACCGGGGGTCGGTGGCTTTGGTTCGAATTCCAATCCGCGTCTTACGGTGTGAGTTTGGTCTGGGCCCCAAGTGCATCCCATAAACTGTTGGATTAATGAGCTGAAGGCCTGACGTGTGAGGGGAGTCGTCCCGCGGGAGGGAGAAGGGGAAACTCGGACTCCGTCTTTCTCCCCGCACCGCGGGCCTCTGACGCCCCCTGCTGGCGGGGCGGGGGCGCTGGCGAGGGGCCTTTTAGATGCTGAGGTTGCTCTTGGGTGAGTTGGGCGAGACACCTCAGCAGGGCCACTGCTCTTCCGTCCTCTTCACTCCCCACCCCTCCTCCCCCCGCACCCCTCCTTTAAGGTGGTGAAAAGTGAGCGGTGGGAAAATCGAATCAGCTGTGAAACTGGCCTTCCTTTATGGAGCTCCCAGGGCCAGCCAAGCCCTTGACAGTTCCAACAGGAATGGGGGTAAAGAATAAAGACCTAACCACAGGCTGTGCGCTCAACGCAGGAGCTGCCGGGACCGCACTGGCCATTAGAGAAACGGCACCGGGGACCTGGTGTCCACAAAGCAACACTCGGCTTCCCCCAACTGGGACACAGGTCCCGCCACCACCAAATCGCAGCCAACGCGCTGCCGAGACCTCATTGCGCAAAATGCAGCCGACAGCCCAGCCCAGCTGTGGGTAGTGGGTAATGATGTCACGTAGCAACGCCCAGCTTCCTCTCCCTAGCGACTAGCCTCCTTGGAGTTTCTTCAGCCCAGGAACACGACTTGCTCTATAGCCAGGTGCAGACATTTCACACTATAACCAAATGTCTGTGAAGCGTTTCCCGTGCCTCATCTCATTTGATCCTCACGGAAGTCCTGGAGTGGGCAGATAGGAGACTCAGCAGAATCCTATTTTCCTTTCATTATCCGGAAAATGGAGATTTAGAAAGCTTAGAAACGTGACCCGACTAAAAAGAGGTAAGAAATGATGGACCTTGAAAATGACTTCCGGTTTTCTCCCTGCGCAGAATACAGTCAAACACGGCTGCAGTTAAACATTGTACCCTTTGTTCTTCCTGAGTGATCTACAATAATAATCTGCTTCGTGTTGATATTTACTGCTGTGTTGCTGACAATTACCTGAAAGAGAAGTTGGGGTGCCTCACTGGGCCTCTGGTCTTTCATAATAGAAGTCAGAATAGAGGCTGCTTCTGGGAAGGATTTTGACTGGGAAGGGGGCGTGGGAACCTTCTGGGGCCCTAGAACTGCTCCCTTAATTTTGGCAGTGGTTTCACAAGTCTATGCATTTGTAAAAACACATTGAGTTGTACATTTATATGCATTGCATGTATGCTATACCTCAATAAGACATTTTTAAGAAGACATTCAAGCAGGAAAAAAAGAGTACTAATCAGTATGATCCTCCTCTTAAAAAGAAAATAAAAGAAAAATATAACAACATAGGGCAGCAGTTCTCATCTCAAACTTTTTTCATCGTCTCGGGACCCCTTTACACTCACATTATTGAGGATCCCAAAGAGCTTTTGTTTTTGTGGGCAATATCGATACTTATCATGGATATTAAAATAGAAATATTTAAAACTCAATCACATTAGCCATCAAAGTGATAACGTCAGCATGTCATGTAACCTCTAGAAAACTTTACTGTCCATTGTGAGAGAGTAAAAAAGACAAATAACATCTTACTGTTATTATGAAAGTAATTTTGAGCTCAGAGCCTTGGAAAACCCTGGGGTCCCTAAATCTCATTTTGAGGACCACTGGCAGGGGGGGCGGGGGGGCGGGTAGGGGAGACACACCACATGATAAATTATTCTCTCTCGGTGATGGATTATAATTTATTTTTATTTGCTTCTTCATGCTTTTCAATTTAAAAAATGGAAAATATGCCCTGGACGGTTTGGCTCAGTGGATAGAGTGTCAGCCTGGGGGACTGAAGGGTCCCAGGTTTGATTCCGGTCAGGGATGCAGACTCAATCCCCAGTGTTGGGTGTGCAGGAGGCAGCCAATCCATGATTCTCTCTCATCATTGACGTATCTCTCTCTCCCTCTCCCTTCCTCTCTGAAGACAATAAAAAATTTTTTTAAAGGAAAATATAACGACCACTGATTGGTTTTGCAAACAAAAAACGAGACTCATCTCCGTGAGACTGTTGAAAAGCCCAAACATAGTTGGCGGTAAGGAAAAAGCAAGCCGAGCCCTAACCTGCAAGTCAGGGCCGGATTTCCTGTGTCAGTCCTGGCCTGTAGGTTGAGCTACACCGTCCAGCTTTCAAGAGGGAATATGTAAGTGCATGCGCGACTGTGTTGTAATGGAATAGAAAGTAAGCGTCCTGAGGGCCCACGGGCAGCAGCTGCATGCTCTGCAGGACTGCACACCCCGGCGCGGACCATCACTACCCATCACAGCCACCAACCGCCCAAACGCCGAGCCCAGCGCCCAAATCAGGGAGAAACTCTGCAAACGCAAACGGAGGCGGGGCTTGAAGGAGACTGACACTGGGCTCGGCCTCTCAGCATTACAGCTCCGCCTTTCTAGCCTACATCCCTCTCTGAGTGGTTGAAGACTGCGGAGGTGAATTCCCATTGGCCGCCAGCAGAACCAGCTTTGCGCGTCAGGACGCCGGAGCGGAAGTCGCCATGGTGCGGTTCAAACACAGGTAAGCAGCGCGTGGCTCGCCCCTCGTGCCCTCCCTGCCCGGTGCCCGCAGCCCTGGCCTCTGCTCACCTCCCTCTCGCCCGCCCCAGGTACCTGCTCTGCGAAGTGGTGTCTGACGACCCCCGCTGCCGCCTGAGCCTGGATGACCGAGTGCTGGGCGGCCTTGTGCGGGACACGGTCGCCCGCCTGCACGGCACTTTCGGCGCGGCCGCCTGCTCCATCGGCTTCGCGGGTACGAAGGTGCTGGGGAACCCAGAGGGCTTGGGGGCCGGAGGAGGGAGAAGGGGCACAAGCGGCCCACGGAGCTGCCAAGCCTGGCGCACCATCCACGAAGTGTTTTTTGTTTATTTTCAATATATTTGTTATTCATTCAGAGGGAGAGGGAGAAACATCAGTGATGAGAACCGGCTGCGTCCTGCACGCCCCCTACTGGGGACTGACGTGACCTCTCCGTTCATAGGTCCAGGCTCAACCCCGGAGCTGGGCCACGAAGTGCTCCTTTTCAGGCCTCTGGGACTCGGAGCTCCAGGTGTGGACAGTCCAAAGTTAGGCGGAGAGCTAAGACAGAAGGCAATGGAACTTTGAGCAAGAATCCCCTGTAGCTATTTGACATGTGCAAACACCAGGTGGGACCACAGTGCACGGGAGCGAAGAATTTTCAGTAATCACCAGAGGCTCACCCCAATGACAGCAACCAGCACCCCACCTTGGTCTGGCACCCCCACTCACCTCCTCCAGCATCCCACCACGGCCGACACCCACCATGTTCCGCGTGCACCCCCTGGTGGTCAGCGCACATCCCATGCCTAGTGACTGGTTACTTGGTTGTTCTGCCGTTCCATCTATTCGCATATTAGTTTTATATATGTATAGGTAGAAGACAGACACAATGGTACATCAGGTGAAACTCAGCTGGCTACAGAGCCTAGCTGCAGAGCCTTTCTTCAGCCAAGGGTTTGAATCTCCACCTCCCCACCCCCAACTTATTAGCCAGTCAGTGAATTAGAGGAACATTCAGAATTCTAAATTCATCAGTTCTGAGTGGTGTGCAAGGCACTGGCTATCGTCTTCCCTCTCCCCTTCCATAAATGACCATCTTTTTCCTTCAGGAATCTGTTCTTACTCATTGATGTGTCCCAAGTGCCACTGCTCTGAACAGTTGTTGGCACTTAGTAGGCTTAGTTACCCTAAGACCTTTGACCTGCTGCTAAGAATCCAGTTTCCCAAAAATTTTTTCCCTGCTGTAGTGCGATACCTCAATGCCTATACTGGAATAGTGCTACTTCGATGCCGAAAGGAATTCTATCAGCTTGTGTGGTCAGCTCTTCCCTTCATCACACACTTGGAGAACAAAGGACACCGCTACCCGTGTTTTCTCAACACCTTGCACGTGGGAGGTAGGCTGCATGGGGTGTGGCTGATTTTCGGTGGGTGTCAGGCTCAGAGTTGTCATGTCTGGTGGGTGGATCTTCCTATCCTGCCAAGAGCAAGATGCTTTCCCCTAGCTCTGCAAGTCTCTGAGGCAGACACCTGTCACCACAAAGCTCTCTCATGTGCCAGGTACAATTAGAACATGTCAGAAGTTCCTGATTCAGTACAACAGGAGACAGCTGTTGATCTTGTTGCAGAACTGCACTGATGAAGGTAAGCAACACTAACCCGGTGCGTACTGATTAGACTGGCCCCCGGCTGTCAAGAACATCTTTCACCCATGTGCCTGCCTTTCTCCAGGAGAGCGGGAAGCTATCCAGAAGTCCGTCACAAGAAGCTGTTTGCTGGAGGAGGAACCGGGTGAGGAGGAGCTTTCAGATGGTGAGGAGGCTGCTGAAGCAATGGAGTGAACCTCTGCGGGCTGCACTGTGCCCAAGCCTTGGGGCCCACTTATTGGAACAGGGCATTCTGGGAGGCAGCTGGATCTACATTTCTAGGATCTGCTTTCCATCCTAGAATGGATGTCACTCAGAGTCCCAGACACATCTGGTAGATTTGTGACTTCTGCCTCAACCTGCCCTTTCATCTCAGGCTGGAACGCCCTCATCCCCCCAGAGTTCCTGACCCTGGATTTCTGAGCGGCTTTCGGTTAAGAATGACAGGCTAAGCCCAGCTCACACTCATAGTAGCTGATACTTTAACCTATTTATAATGAGTATGTCCAGCTGACCTGACTTGAACTTTAAAAAAAAAAAAAGCTGCCCTGTCCAGGCAGCTCAGTTGGTTAGAGCATCGTCCCGACACGCCAAGGTGGCAGGCTCGAGCTCCAGTCAAGGAACATACAAAAATCAACCAATGAATGCATAGATAAGGGGAACAAAAATCGATGTTTCTCTATTTTTCCCCTCTCTAAAAACTCAATGAATTAAAAAAATAAAACAGAAAGCTCACATTGCTTGTGCAGGTAATTTATTGCAACTGTTTGCCTTCACATTCTGTTAGACCTAGAGGTTACTTTATTAAGCAGCAAAAGAATTCACATCACTCAAATTTAGCTCAAACCAAGGCATAAGACTACTCTAGACAACAGAGGCAGTGGGCAGCCCTGCCGCTTTCAAACCTGTCCTGCTCTACCTCTAGGTGTGCTGGACGCCTGCTCCTACAACTCGGGCTACGGTCACTTTAAACAACTTTGATTTAAAGGTTGGAAGGTGCTAAGGCTACCTTAGTGAGTTATGTCTTTCCTTGCCAAGCAGAAGCCATGTGGAAGAGGCAAAACCCTCCATCATACGTGCAAGTGCAGCCTAGGTCTAGCCCCAGAGCCTGGCCATGTCAGACAAAAAACTGCAATTCGAGCTGAGTATCCTAAATCCATTTTATTCCATCCCTCTGTTTCTTTAGAGGACTGGACAGACAGAAAAGATTCAACTACTTTTAAAAGACTCACTGAAAGGTGCTGAAAGCAGGATGCCCTGGCACATGACGTCAGAGCACAATAGTGCTATTTAACACTCTGTTCTGGGCTGCTTTTCCAAGGGATGTTGAAGGGACTTGTTTATTTAAGGTTGAGAAAAACTAATTACACATGGTCAAAAAGACTAACCTCTAACAAACTAAAAACCTTGGCAGGAAGAGATCTCTTATGAGTGTCAATACTTTATTTTGGTGTAAAGACGGGAAGCTGGAAAATACACTGTATTTAAAATCTTGGTTCCCCCTCATATTGTGGAAACCCCCTCCCCCCAGAACTAATCTGTTCAAACTCAGATACTTAAAAATTACAGCAGCAAAACAAAAGCACGGAAAAAAGAAAACCAGCTGGAGAAGTAGCCTGGGCCGGTAGTGTCACTTGGTGTGGACGACTGAGGTGCTGAACAGGAGCTTCTGTTTCTGTTTTTTTCTTTTCTTTCCTCCTTTCTCTTCTAAATGGAAACAGAAAGAGAACTTAGCTTAGAATGCCACCCCTGTCCCCTGGCCAGTTTTCATTACTGAGAGTGACAATGGCAGCTAAGTACAGGTTCTGGAATCAGAATGCCTGTATTCACATACCAGTCCTTGCATACTCTTTGTTTTTGGACAAGTCTCTTTATCTCCCTAGAAGTGTTTCAACTGTAACAGAGTTACACCTATTTAATATGGCTAATGGGAGAGTAAAATTAGCACAATGCCAGGCACACACAGGAAGCACACCATAAATGTCAGTCTCTAATCAGGAATGTCAGAGGGGGTGGGCTTCGAGCATCTATGAGCCACCCTTTACCAACTCAGGATTCCAAAATCTACTCTCCACTGCTGTGTCTTAGAAGCGGAAATAATAGTTCCTCATAACGTCATATCCAGGCCTCAAGAAATGAATCTGAGGTGGCAAAAGGTGCTATGTGAAACCAAATGGAAAGTTAGCTGCCACGAGAAGGTGAGCCTAAGGGCTCAGGGAAATGCCGGCTGATGAGTGCCACCTGCCACAGGACCCGGGCGGGAAGGACACCCTGTGCTGAGCACTCCCCGGCCTTTACCAGAGAGGGCATCTGAAGTAGCGGGCGTGTCCAGTTTCATGAAGGCTGCTTCGATAGCTTGGCTGAAGGAATTCTGGAAACTGGGCACAGGAACACGGTCCGAGTTATCACTCTCCCCATCACTGTCCACCGTGGCAGGAGGGACTAAGCTGTTTTCATCTAAAAAACAACCAGTGTTACAATTCTAGGAACAACTCTAGAGACTTCTATCTTCTGAAAAGGAAAAAACCGCCTTTCACCAGGAGGGCCATCCTCACCTTTCTTTGGAATAGTTTTGGGCCACACATCTGCTTTTGCTTTTCCAACTCTCAGCATCTGCCAAAGTGGGAAAGGGGAGAAAAAAGAAATCTAATGATTTGCTGAATAATGAGAACACTGATTCTCCCTCAACTACTTTTAGCCTCTCCCCTTGGTACGTCTACGATAATATCTGAGACTAAATCTATGAACTTCCCTCTTAAGAAAGCCTTCTGTGATTATCAGAATCAGTGCAACATTAGCCTATGAGCCCCCCCCGCCCCCCAAACAGAGTGGTTCCAGAAAGAACAAGCAGTGGAGTTTGTGTTAAATATCCTTGGCTGCTTCCCAAGCACAGGACTTACCTGGGCAAACGAAGGGAAGGGAGAGTCTTCCTCCAGGCTCCCGACGCAGAGTGAAGGACTGCCCTGGCTTGCAGTGGGTGACACAGGGGTCAGCAGAAAGTCTGAAAGGGAACCAGACACCTGATTATACAAGTCAAGTTCCAAAGAGCTAGTGTCTTAACAAGAGTGAAGAGATGAACCCTGAATCAGGTATGGATAATTACCAATCTCAACTCAAAAAGCAAACTTTGACCCAATTTCAACTCTGCCATATTCTCAAAAAGCCAAGAACAAGGCCTATTATCCATACCAGTGATCAGTAGAGAAATGTTTTGCGTTTACAGTAACACTAGAAGGTCTGGCAGAACCTATTCCCACAGTAAAAGACCTTTCCACAGCAGCTGACTCTCAAGGACTAGGTTTGGTCTGTCATGACTTGGTTTTATGTAGATGAAAACACTCCAAGGAAAAGTTATAAAATGGAATCAGGTCAGCTTTTATGTTCCAGTCAGCAGATGTCTAAGACTTGGGAATATTCAGTTAGAATCCAGACACACACATCAACAAATCCCGAATGAAGATGCCAGCTTTTTCCTGATACTCCCTCGGGAACAGTCTTGCCCATCCTTTGACCTTAGGTTGAACGTTTCCCACAGATCAGGTCTACCCGCTACGCTGATCACTCTCCCACTAGCAGGCCCTTCCCCCGCCAGCCAGAGCTGTTCTATTTCTAGGACCATCCAACTGCTCTTGCTCAAAGACCTTCAGAAAAACTAGTGTGAAAACACAATCTTTATATCACATATAACGTGGTTGATATTCTGCTGTATTCCTTTGTATAGCAGCTCTCTTCTTAAATGTGCTCTTCAGAGCATCATGGTCGTGTAGCCCTCAAGATCAGCCCAGGTTCTAATCCCAGTCCCAGCCACTAACTAAGGCCCCGCCTTAACCTTAGGCTCCTAACCAAAGGGTAACCAAGAGTTTTAAATATTATGATCTTGGCCGAAACCGGTTTGGCTCAGTGGATAGAGCGTCGGCCTGCGGACTGAAAGGTCGCAGGTTCGATTCCGGTCAAGGGCATGTACCTGGGTTGTGGGCACATCCCCAGTGGGAGATGTGCAGGAGGCAGCTGATCGATGTTTCTCTCTCATCGATGTTTCTAACTCTCTATCCCTCTCCCTTCCTCTCTGTAAAAAAATCAATAAAATGTATTTAAACAAACAAACAAACAAATAAATAAATAAATAAATATTATGATCTTGGACATTTTGTTTAAAATACCTGATAGAGAAATAAAATTTAAATATCACAGTATCTGCCAGGTGGATAAAGATCAGAAATGATAGCTCTCTGAAATGATAGCAACTCTTTCTTACGTGTTTCATTTCATAACACAGTAATACATTCTACAGGAGGGAAAAAATATTTTTTAAAGGCTAAAGGCCACTTTGAACAATCTCTCAATCCTGGTCTCACTCCCTAGAGTGGAACACGATTACCTGTTTGGAATATAATCACCCCACTATTTTTCTATACACTTAGACATACAAACCCATAACATGTTTTGCGTGTTTTTCTTTAAACCCACAAATGGTATCATGTTCTGTTTGTTCTAAAAGTTCCATTTATCCCACAGGTCTACCCATTAGTTCATGAAGAGAGCTATTTCTTCCTTAGGTGTAAAGTACAATGTTTCAAAGTATAAATACTATAATTTAGCCATTATCAGTACACTTTGTAAACTATTTCACCCCCCACACACAAGGCTAAGATGCTAAATGTGTCTAAATGTCTGACCAGTTGCTATGGTGCGCACTGACCACCAGGGGGCAGACACAGGAGCTGCCATGACCCACACTGGCCATTTACAGAGAAGCAGTACCATGGACCTGGTGCCAACAATACAACACTCAGCTTCCCCAAAGTAGGACATAGGTCCTGCCACCACCCCAGAGTGACTGCCCACCAAATCGCAGCCAACATTGCCGAGACCCCATGGCACAAAATGCGGCCTACAGCCCAGCCCAGCCCAGCCCAGCCCGGAAATGGTAGCTGTGGGCGCCGGGTAATGACATCACATAGCAACACCTGGCTTCCTCTCCCTAGCAACTAGCCTCCTTGGAGTTTCTTCAGCCCAGGAACATGATTTGTTTTATAGCCAGGTGCAAACATTTTACACTGTAACCCAATGTCTGTGAAGCATTTTCCCATGCCTCATGATCTACAATAATAATCTGCTTCATGCTGATACTGCTGTGTTGCTGACAATTACCTGCAAGAAGTTGGGGTGCTTCACTGGGCTGGAAAAAGTTTAGCTATATCAGAAAGCAGGTCTAATTAAGCAAGTTTATTCTACATCTATAAAAGGCTAAGTTCACTCGCACATGTGCCATACATGTAAAGCTCTCGCTGGCACCAATGGTACACGTGTGTTTCGACCTGTCACTGTCGATGGTGAATTTGGTTGATACTTCTATTATAGAGAAAGGGCGAATAGCAATATTAAAATATCTCTTCTAATTAATTTCCTTTCAATGTGCACGAATTCATGCACCAGGCCACTAGTTTATTATAAACAATGCTACAAGGAAACACTTGTACCTTCATTCTTTACATCCCAACTTTATTTACCTGCTTGGGAACCTGGACT